AGCCACATATTCATATCATCATGTTCGGTCTTCTTGGGTGCATGTGGCACGCGGCGCCTTTGCGCCTCACCGTGCGCTTGTCCAGCCGCGGTCTTGACTTTGAAAGACATACTACCGCCCCCAGCGGATCATTCGCACGAGTGGCCAACTTATTCGCATGACCGGCACATGCGCGGTTGCGCACGTGCACAGTCGACGACTATGCGCGCTTGATTGGCACGGATGCAAGCGGGATGCCACCCCCATGTGCGCAAAGCATTCGCTACAATGCTGCTGCAGCACATTGCCCATTATACCACGATCGATGCCCAGCGCCAGGCGCTCGCGCATCTGAGCATCCATGCCCGCGCCGGAAAAACGCGAAGCATTGCGCGACGACAACGCCGCAAGGACGCGAGTGGGATCAAGTTTCGCGACGAGTATGGGGTCGATACGGACAGCCACACCGTCATACAATACATCAATGTCAAGCATTATCGTTTTGGATACGGTGTGCATGCCAGCTTGTTCGGGGACTTGCAGAGGCGGAAACGCCCAAAGGAGAGGATCCTCGTCGCCATGGACGACCGTCTCCCTCCTCTCCTGAGTTGCGGACCGAAGGTGGCCCGCCCGTGCAGTCTGCCGACCCAGCCGAATGCCGGACCAAACAATCGTCGAATTTTAACGCAGAAGTTGAGCCGGAATCGTGCGACGGAGATTTCAGGAGCACGTCGAGGTCGAACACAACGACTGCGGGGGAGATTTGGATGGCATTGGTTGGGGCGCCAGCGCAACCCACATGAGCGCTGATGCACCTGCCGAGCAACTAGAACCTGCGTGCGCCGTCACGGGCGCCGGCCGACACAGCGGCAGACGTATATCCCACATGCGTACGCGATGCGACGTCTCCAACGGTGGTGGCGCGGATCTGCTGGGACTCTGCGGTGGGGAAGGCGGCGTTGCTAGGCTGGCTTTCAAGCTTGGGCGCGCTTCGCGTGGGATGCGAGATAAGAATGCACATGTCAAGCGCCCCAACGCGAGAGAACCCTTCATCGACGCTCGACCAGCCTCATAAAGCGTGACGGCACGAGTGTCAAGACGTCTGACGCGGTGGCCACTCATTTCGCATTTGTACCGCTATCCAGGAAGTTCAAATGCGACGGGAAGCATGTCCATGCGCTGGTGTAGAACACATTTCTCGTTAAGACAGCGCTCTATACGCATCTCAGACAGTCAGCATTCGTCGAAGCAGTTCGGCTCATGCGAGACACGGCCGCGCATGAGAGACTGCAACATGAAGGGCTTCTGGGAAGCCACTGTGCTCCAGCTCTCTATGCTGTGTTGGCGCAGGTGATTCCAGACCAATGCGTCTAAATCCTTGCAAAGTTCGAGGAGCACGGTGACTTGCTTGATGCGCCTGCAGGCCAGAAGCAGGCCTGGGAACGCGCGCAGTTCCCGCGCAATTGTGCGAGTACGACAATATGTATACATTGGACGCCAGCTGCAGCGAATAATGGCAGCAGACATGGCCCACGCTTGTCTCGTAGAACAGAAGCATCAATTTGATGACGACATTGACATAGCCGCGACCAGGGCATGCGCCACTACTGCATCTGGAAAAGCGATTATCGAAAAAGAGAGCGACCTACTGACGAAGGCAGAAATCCATGCAAACGCCTTGAAGGTACGAATGGCCCTCTACACTGGTTTACGTATCTGGCGCGATAGCGACCGCTTCTGTGCGCGCTCAAGGGCAGACGCCACCAATGTCATGACATTTCGTTTTGTATAGAGTGGAAACTCGTAGAGAATGAGATTGGCGCGATGGGGCGCGCGATGCCGCTCGGGCCCGCGCTGCGCGGCATCCTGGACGCCGACGCTTTCGACGTCGAGACCTTCTCGGGCGCGGCCTGCTGATTTAACCGGGGGCCTTTGGCCAGCGCGGCGGCGCGCAAGACGGAGCGGACTCTCGCATCCTCGCGCATCGGCAAAGCCATCCTCGAAGGCCCCGCCCACAGCGAGTTGGCGGCAGCGGCTGGGAGAAAGGGGGGAATCGCGTGTTTGGCGTTCCCTCCTGGCTTGGCCGCGGTGCTCCGAGCGCCATCGGGCGTCGCATACTCCGACGGATCAAATAATTACCTCCAGTGATTGACGCCCTGCGCGGGTACCAAGGGCGCTCCTCGAACATTCTTACTTGAGCCCGGAAACATCGCGAGGGGCTTCGGGATCCAATAGACGGAAGCGGCGACAAGTCCGAAGCTTGCGCGGCCTTGATCACGACCAAACCGGTCGAGGCATCAACGTGGCCGGCGAGAAAGTTCGCGTCGACAAGTGCGTGCGTCGAGCATGCGTTTGGCCATTGTAAAGGGCGCGCGTGCACCCGCTGCGCCGCGCGATGCTCCAGACCCCAGAACGACGACGTCACCGTGAACGAACGCGAGTTCGTTGAGCAGCCGAGAGCCATCCAACATCCCGAGCTAGCGGGAGCAGCGCCCGAAAAAGGAAGCCACCATGACGGTAACGGACATGTTCATGAGAATTTGCATTTGCATTGGCATGTGTTCTCATCGCGCAGGCATGGCCCATGGTCTACGTCGCCTCACTTCAACAAGTTCAGGGACATGCAAACATCCAGGTTCGGACGCCGAGTGAGCGCCACGACCCTGCAGCTACGGTCTGGTCCAAAGGACCGCATGCATCCAGCCAGTTCGCCGACGGACCAGGTAGATATTCATTGCGATCCATCGATGCCGCCGATTGACGGGAGACGCGGATGATGACAAAGGATGCGGCATCCGCGGGGCAAGATCGCTAAGGCACGGTCGCGCACAAAACGGCGCAGTCGTGACCCACCTCGTGGATGCATCATGCATGTCGGATCGGCTTTAGGCGCGCCTGGCTACTCAGCGGGAGCGCTAGTTGCGGCGCACAATCTCAAAGACTGCTACCCGACCGCAGTCACGCTACACGAACTTCTCCACGGAACTAGTGTGCATCCCGAGGAACTTCATAACGCGCTGGAACATGGTGATCGATTCATCGATGCATCTTCCACCATCGTGCCGGGTCTGTCTTAAGACCCCTATCTAGCAAAGGCCTGGCAAAGCCGATTGAAATTGATATCCCGCCCGCCCGCCATAATGTCCTGTTCACACGGCCTCGCCGTTAGGGCAGCGCTTGCTTATTGACCCCCACCCATCAGGGCCCCATCCAGCCCGAATGCTTGAAACATCGCCCGCCCCTATCTCTCCATTCTTCTGTGTCAAAAATTTGCTTCAATCTATTCATCTATACATCCAGGCATGATGTTGCTTATGCCTGTCTCTCTCTCTCTATCTCTCAGTTCCTGTTGTTTTCTTCATAAAAATATACATATATATGTTTAGTGTATGTTTCTTCTTGTTCTCTACATGTACTCATATGTGGTTGATTGCGCTGTATTCGTATCCCTCTTTCTCTCTCTTTCTTTTTATATGTTTTTTTTGTCCCCTCTCTCTCTCTCTCTTTTGTTTTTTTTTTCTTTATCAAAATATTCCACCTCTTCTTTCGAGTTTTTTCATTTATTTGGAAGAGAGGACCGAGGCGGGCCAGCAAGCAACCGCACGGGGGAATGCGGTATCCGGCTTCCAGACAACGCTTTTGAACAGGAGGGGGGGAGCAGTGCAGATGGAAGGGAAGGAACAGGAGAACGTCATGCAAGGTCCGGCCGGCAGAAAACGTGGGAGATCGGATCGGAAAGGTGCGGGGGGGATCGCGGTCGTCGTTGCAGTGGTCTTTCTTGTCCCTCCCCCTCCCCGTTTTCCTCCTCCTTCTCCTCCTCTTCGTCCTCCTCCTCCTCCTCCTCCTCCTCCTCCTCCTCCTCTTCCTCCTCCTCATCCTCCTCGTCCTCCTCCTTACCCTCCTCCTCCTCCTTCTCCTCCTCTTCTGCCGCCTCCTCCTCCTCCTCCTTCTCCTCCTCCTCCTCCCCCATCCTCCCCTACTCCTCTACCCCCCCTGCCTTTCCTCTGTTTCAATCCTGGTCCCTGTAAACAATTTCTCCCCGTCGCGCCTCGAGGCGTTTCGGTCGGGCGCGCCGGGCGTTTCTGCTGACACTCCTTCACCGAGTATTGTCTTCAAGCTGAAATGTGCGTAAGCTTCACGGATGGAGGGTGGGTCTTTTTCAAGCGTGGCTCTCGCTCCAGCGATGCCCACATTCACGTTATGTGTCATGCAAAAACTACACGGACAGAGGGCGGGCCGTTTTCAAGATGTCGGTTTCGCTTCAGCGCCGTGCGCATTCGGATTAACAAATGCAGCAGTGTCGCGGATGGCACGTGACCTTCGGCAAAGCACCGCGCAGATGTTCTCGCCTGAACGCCTCGTACATTCGTCTTACAAAATTGCAAGATCTTCATTGATGGAGGGCGGCTTCGTTTCAAAATGTGGCTCTCGTTTTTGCGCCGCGCACATCGTCTCAAGTATTTGTAAGAGCTTCATTTGTGGAGGGCGGGTCCTTTTTTCAAAATGTGAGTCACGTCCCAGCACCGCAAACATACGTTTTCAGAGCTCTCAACAGTTTCAAAGACTCTCATGGCGAACGTCCCAGAACTGATATTGTGATACGATGTCGGATTGTCAGGGCGCAGTAGTTACGTTGATTCGCTGCGTTGCTGTACCAGGAACGGCGTTCTGGCATAATTCACGATCGTCAATACGCAACAATAACGGTGATTCGCGGCGTTGAAGTCCCAGGAAAGGTGTCCTGGAGCTTTCCACCACAGCTCAGAATCTTCAAACGGTTGTCTTCCAGCGGGGCATGCCTTTCAGTGGAAATGAAGCCTTGCAGGAGCCACTGAAGAGGGAACTTGGAGGGGGTCGTTCCAATGTCGTTGGTAAGCGTCGGGTTTGCACTGGTCCTCCTCCTCCTCCTCCTCTTCCTCCTCCTCCTCCTCCTCTCCCTCGTCCCCCTCCCTCTCGCTCGCATCCCCTCCCGCGCAGGCGGGGCGGCGGACCCCCCCCCCCCGCCCGCGGCGGCCGCACAGGGCGGCGGCCAGTCGATGTTGCGCTTTCTGCGCTCGAACCTGCGGCTGGGCGGCTGGGCGGGCCCCACGCGGCTTGCCCCACCCTGCTCCCCAGCCATGCGCGGAGGGCGGAAAAGAGGGGGGTGATGACTATGGGGGGGTGGATTTCATGGCGCGGGCCATGATTTTTCCTCAGATTTCATGGCGCCTCTTCTTATTTCATTACGTCCCTGGCCCCCCCACTGGGCCGCGCACATGCCGCCGGTCATGATTTGCACCCCCCCCTCTTGGACACCCCCCTCTTGGCCGCTCCCGACATGCGCGGAGGGCGTATTGTTGAGTCGAGCGTGTCCTTCTACAGGAGGAAGATGCAAGAGTAGTCAAAAAATAGTCTGGAGTCTGGAGACGACTTTTTGCCAATGTTCGGACATGTTCTGGCAGTTTAGGTGCATCTGTTTTTTTTCCGTCCAGGATCGGCCTGTCTGGGGACATGCCCGACCTACGGGCTGGGGAAAAGGCGCCTTAAAAGCAGCTCTGCGCCTTAGAATGCGCGGGCCTCGTCTAGAGACGTAAGGTCGGCACCCTGTAAGAAGCAGCCTCCTTCTAGGACGGCTTCCCCCCTCCCCCCACCCACCTGCGCGCGCCGCCGGAAGCTCCGCCTCCCCGTCGAATATGATTGATTGGGGCGGTGTACGATCGGGCAAGTTTACTAACTAACACATGGCACTCCGTCCCCACACTTCCCGCCACCCCCCCTCCGCCTTTCCAACCTGCGCTGGGTCGAAAAGGCGTGCAAGTGAGCCTGAAGTACGCCAGCATCTTGCTCGTCCCCTGGATGGGCTTTCTGGACGTTTTCGTCGGTTCGCACAGGTTTCATCGCTTCGAGATACTTTCCATCGTTGACGCCTGGTCGAGAGCGTTCGGGGGGTGTCCGGATTGTACTGTCCCGATCCGCCGCTGGAACACACTCCGGAGTCTCGCCCGAAAAAATACAACGACGGAGTGATTTAGGCAATTCTTGGCGCATCGCATATCCCCACCAGCCTGTCACCTTCTTCGGCACGTGCATCTTGGGGCGTCTCCTTCCCTGGTGTGGGGTCGCTATCCCACACCGCTTCGCACCCGCGTCCTACTGGCAACCCTTGTGCACGTGGTCACCGTGCCGGTCTGCCAGTTCCTACGCCACTTTGGACGCTGAGCCCGCTTCTGAGCCGGGCGCTGCTCCTTCTGTTTTTCTTTGCTTCGGCGCGGCCCGCCGTAGCTCTGCCCGGCTTTCGACCTGCTTCGCGAGCCCGCGAACCAACAAGTATCCACACCAGCCCATCCAGAAACGATGCCCATGAGAGTTGACGGGGGGAGAAAGGAAGAGACACGCATAGCCAAACAACGAGGGAGGCTTGGGAGGCTCCGTGGCCATCTCGAGCCGTCTTTCAGCGGTTTGGGGGCCGCTTGGAGCATCTTGGGAGCCATCTTGAGCCAGCTTAGGCTATCCGGCGCCATCTTGGAGGTCATCTTTAGCTCTCTGAGGCCGCTCGGGGGCCTCTTGGGTGCCTCTCGGGTGCCTGTTGGAGGCATCGTTGGGCCTTTTGGGGCGCTCTTTGAGCCCTCTTGGGAGCCCCTTGGGAGCCCTGGAGGCCTCTTGGGGCCATCCTGGTGGCGGTCTGTCAAAAAAGGGGGGGTACTCGATTTGTCCCTCTCTGGGGGGCCACGATCCTTGTGAGGGGTGGCAGAAAATGGCCCTCCCAATAGCCGCAGAAGGAGCCTCCGACACCTCGCGATCCCCCAAAACATCTTCAGGGAGGGGAGTGGGAGGGCTCCCCCCCCGAAGGGAAGAGGGGCTGTGGAAGAGGAAAGAGACCCTCGTTAGACCACCTCGCCGGCGTCTCGCTGGGCCTCGTGGTCGTCGAACACGATTTGGTCCGAGTGGAAGGGTCCAGACCTCGGAGGCACGGTCCTGTGGGACAAGAATCACGGTGTTGAGGATTTGGGCCTTCCTCCTGCTCGTTCCTCCCGCCCCTCCCCCCTTCCCGCGTCCCTTTCCTCCTCCCGCTTCGCTCCTCTCTCCTGCATTCCGCGCATGGCCCCTGGCATTGAGACTGTATGTGTGCGGCCTCGGATATGACGCCCCGCCACGCAATTGTCATCAGGTTTCGTCTTCCCGCACTGGGCCCCGCCGCTCTTGGCCCGATGTCGCAGCAGCCGCCGCGTGCCGAACGGCGGGGCCGGTCGCGCCACACGTTCGGGGAGCGCATTGGCCCCTGAGCCGCCCGCCCCCTCCTTGCTTCCCTTCGGCCGCGTCCCTCCTCCCTCCTCCTCCTCTTGCATGGTGGCACAGGTCGCTCCAACGGAACCCCTGTTGATGCCTGTTTCCGCCAGCGCGGTCACCCTCTGCCTAGCCGCCGACGCAAAACATGTGCGCACGGCCTCCTGAGCCGAGGCCAGGAGGGCTTGCAAACCATGCCAGGGCTCAGCCACGGGAAGTCTGGGGGCATCCGATTGGCTTTGGGGGGCCTCTTGGGGGCCTCTCGTCTTGGAAGTCTCTTTGGACATCTTGGGGTTGTCTCGGGGGTCACTGGGGGGCTCTTGGGACAATCACGGCGGGAAAGACTCCTGATGTCAGCTCGTATTGCCCCTCTTGGGCCCCTCTGTTCCTTCCTCATTCTGCCTTCCTCCTATTCCTTCCCCTCCTTCCGCCTAATGCTGCGCACTCCGCACCTAGGCTGAGCCCGAAGGTTGCGCGCGCAGGTTACGCCGGCTTCTCGCGTCAGGTTCGTCCGTGCGTCGCGTCTGCAGGTGGCGCCCGCACAGTGCGCATGCCGTTGGTCGCGCGCAGGTTCTGCACTCGGACTTTTTGTCGGGCAGGCTGCTCGCGCAGTTTGCGCCGTCTGCGTGGGCCCACCTCTCTGCTGTTGCGGTCTCGGGCTTGGCTGCCGCCACTATTTGTGCGACGCCGGCGCCAGCCTCGTCTGCGCTGTTCGAGCCCCTGAAGGTGTTCTGTCCTCTGCCCCGGAAACGTTTCACAGCTCACACGTGACCCTTTGGCTCCGCAGTTTTGCCTGTAGCCCTCCCCAGGGCCGCCGAGCCCAGAAGCTCCCTTCTTCCACCTCCCTGCCCCCCTTCCTTCTCCCCCCTCTCTGGCCCTGACCCCCCGATGCAGTCCAGAAATGGGTTCCGCCAAGGCTGGCCACTTACATTGAGAGAAGACATTTGCCATGATCCAGGATTTTCCGTCGAGCCCACCCCAAGGGACACGAAGAGAACATGGAGGCGGATCATGAGATCGAGGATCTGTGCGCATCGTTTTGCTCTGCATGCGAAATTGCGCATCGGGGCCCGTCACTTGTGCGTCTCACCGATCTTGGCCGTGACGATCTTGCTCCCATCGTACTTGAGGACCACACGCCAGAAATAAGTTCGAGCACCCAGAATAGAGGCGAAACAGTGTCGAACGAGTGTCGCCTCCCAGGGCCCGGCACGTGAAAACCCTTAAAGTCTGGTGCTTCCTTTCGGGGGCGGAAAAGAGGGGGTTGATGACTCGGGGGGGTGGGTGGATATCATGGCGGGGGGCATGATGATATTTCCTCAGATTTCATGGCGCCTCTTCTTATTTCATTACGTCCCTGGCCCCCCCCGCTGGGCCGCGCACATGCCGCCGGTCATGATTTGCACCCCCCCCTCTTGGACACCTCTCTCTTGGCCGCTCCCGATCCTGGGTGCTCGAAATTCTGTCTGGTGATCAAGGCTCAAGTAGGTTGGAACATCATGAGCCTTGGCGATCCTGCTCCAAGGGTCAGTTTGGGCCGAACGGAAGGGTGGGATAGGGAAAGGAGGGGTTACGACACCCGCTGCGAGCAGCTGCTTTCGGCCCCGCCGCCGGGGCCCATCCCTCGATATACGTGGGCGCCTCCGGGCGCCGGGAGACGCGGGGCAAATCAGCAACGTGAGCTCCTTCTCTACCCTGCCCTTTGCTATCCTCCCCTCCTCCGCCCCCCCCCCCCCGATCGGGGCAAACACCGCCGACCCGGGTTAGGAGGTCGGCCCTGCCAGGTCAAGGGTGCCCTCGCGTCCTGTGTCTCGCGACCCATGCCTCCTACGGTCCCGTGGCAGTGTGGCCCTCGTCCTCTCGCGTGTCCTGTCCAGTCGAGTCCGACGGCGTGCCCCTCGGCCGAGCCCGGAGGGCGCACGCACACCTCTCCTGGGGCCTGGGCGCGGGCCGGCCAGGAGCGGCGCGGTGCCCCGCGGGCCCCCCCCTCCCCTCGGCGGGAGGGGAAGCGATACCAACACCACCAGGGGGCCCACCTCCAGCGAGGAGGTCCACGATGCCTCCCCGAGCTGGATGCTGGGGATGTCTCGAGCGAGGGGGAGAGGGGGGGGGGCACACCACCGGGGAGACTCCCCTGGCCTCCTCGCACCTCCTCGCCCTGCTGGTGTTGTTGTGGCCTTTCCTTGTCCCCCCCCCTCCACAGGGGGTCGGGAGAGCACCCCATGATGCCTACCTCGTTTTGAGTCGGGCGCGTCCCTCTCCAGGAGGCATATTCAAGAATAGTAAAGCAAATAGTCAGGGGACGTTGTTTTAACATTATTTCCTGACCAGTTTGGGGTATTGTTTGCCAATTTTTCGTTTTTCGTCCAAAATCCGCCTGTAGGGGGACACGCCCGACCTAAGCCTAGTTCAGGCGATCGCAGACACGGATCAAGGGGGCGTGGATTCGCGACGGGTCTCGTTTCCATGGGAAATCGCACATTGTCGCCGCAGAGCGAGGCGACGATGGCCGTATTCTTGGGGGAGGGCACCTCCCCCGATCCAAGGAAGTGGCGACCGCGCGCCGAATCCATGGAACGCTAACCCATGTTTGCGCACCCCCGACGAGTGTCCGCTCCTTCCCTCGACCTCCTCCCCCCTCCCAGGATGGCACCGAGCCCCTCCTGCCGCGCCCCTGCACTCCCCTCCCGCATCCCCCCCCCCGCCCCCGCCCCCCCCCGCCGCCCAGTTCTTCCCCCGTCGCCCATCGCCCCCATCCGCCTTCCGCCTCGCATGCCCCTCAGCCTACGAAGTTTGCTGCATGCAGCTGGTTTCGGCCCCACCGAGGGGCTCATTCCTCGATACATTGCCGCCTCCGGCGCCGGGAGGCGCCGGGAGAATCAGCTACGTGAGCTGATCCTCAACCCCCCCCTTTGCTATCCCCCCCTTCCGCCCGACCCGAATTTCCCACCTCTCCCCTCTCCTCGAGCTTCTCGGCGCCCCGCCGACCCCGCGGGGCCCGCGTGCTCGAGTGCCGCGGCGGCCCCGGGCCCGTCTCCGAGAGGACCCTCGCGCGCCGCTGGGAGCGCGCCTTGCCTGGCGGGCCCGCGCTCGCCAGTGGCAGACGCGCCGTCCTCCTCCTCCTCCTCTCAGGAGGGGAAAAACACACAGACACAATTAATCGTCGACTCCCAGGAAAATATGGGAAAATATGGGAAGTGGGGGGGAAGACAGAAACCCAGAAAATATGAGAAAATATGGGGGATATTTTTATTTGTGTGTATTTATTTGTGTGTCCCAGGGCCCCTTCATCCTCCTCCTCCTCCTCCTCCTCCTCGTCCTCGTCCTCGAGCCTCTGCGCTCGCTCTCCCCACGCTCGCGAGCAGGTCTCCCAGCCCCCCCAAAGAGCCCCAAGAGGGCTCGAAGACTCCCCAATCGATTCTCAAGAGGGCCCCAAGAAGGCCTCAAGAGGGCCCCCAGAGGGCCCCACGATGGCGCCCAAACCTTTTCTTTTGGAGCGATGGGGCCCAAGATGACCCCAAGAGGTCACCCCGCCCGCCGTTCCCTTGGCATCGCTCGGACGTGTGCATTTTGCCTCGGCGGGAGCCATCGAGGGGACCATCCTGGGCCATCGAGCAAAAGAAAACACGCGCACGAAGCCGAAGCATGCACGGGACATGGACGTCCGAGCGACGGCAAGTTCCCCGCCCCCCGCCCCTCCGCACTCCGCCCCGCCTGGTGACGCAGCACCCGCAGAAAGGGCAGAAGCGCTGGCGCACAGAGCGCCTCCTCGGTGCGCGCACCGCCGCGCCGCCGCGCAGCCTCGCGAGCGGCCAGGGACCCGCGCCGCCCTCCCCCCCCCGCTATACCCCTCTCCCTGCTGTACCCCGGCGCCTCCCCGGGCCGGCCGAGGAGGAGGAGGAGGAGACGGAGGAGGAGGAGGAGGAGGAGGAGGAGGAGGAGGAGGAGGAGGAGGAGGAGGAGGAGGAGGAGGAGGAGCAGCAGGAGCAGGAGGAGGAGGAGGAGGAGGAGCGACGAGGAGCGAGGAGGAGCCACGAGGGGCGACGAGGAGCGCGCAGCGGGGCGGAGCGGGGAAGAGGAGGAGGAGGAGGCCGAGGAGCGAGAGCGAGTCCCCGGAGGTGGGCTCCGTGTGCCACGTGCCCACCGCGCCGCACACGCCGCGCAGCCGCGGCCTCGGCGGCCTCCGCGCGGCCCCGCCCCGCCCCGCGCGGGCCACGCGCGGGAGGTCCGGGCGAGCTGCGGCTTCTGCGGCGGTGGCCTCGCGCGGCCTCTGCGCGGCGGCGGCGCCTCGAGGTGGACCCCTTCGGGGCCTCTGCGTACAGTGCCGTTTTTTTATGCAAAAGCAGCGAGGAGTTCATGTATCAACTTATTCATACATTGATCCTTAACGAATCCTATATGTTCAAAAATCCCATGTCTTAAAAACTGCCCTGTAGCCTCGACGGTCCCTCGGTGGCCGCGCAGGCAGCTGGGGTCGGGACGGCGCCCGGGGCCAGTCCGGGGGCGGAATTGGGACGGGAGTGGCCCTCCTGCCTCGCCGCGGGCACTCGATGTGGAACGCCCTCGGGGTGCCCGCGGGCCCCGCGATTGGGCGCCAGATCCATGCGAAAGCTGAGCTTCAGAGCCCTGGGGGATCTCCGAGAGCAGATCTGTGGCAAGCTTGATCGGCCCGCGCAGCGACAGAAGCCCTGACCCGACAGCCTGGGGACTCTGTTTTTCTCGGCGGCAGGACGAGAAGTCGCGGTTCGCGCGCCGCGAAGCGCAACGCTGGGCGGCATCGGTCGTAAGATGGATGGGGCAAGCGCAGACCGTAGGATAAGGCGCGCTGCGCGCCGACCATCACTAGCCTGACACATGCCATTATTCTTATGATGTGCCTCTCGCTTCGCGGGGTGCACGCCCGGAGCACGTGCAGTCCAGACGTTGTGGGGCCTGGTGGAAGCCTCTTTGGGGCCTCTTGGAATCTCGTGGGCTTCTTGGGGCCTCTTGGGGCCTCATGGGGGCGTCTCGGGCCGTCTTGGGGCGCTCTTGCGCCCTTTGGCTCCTTCGGAGGCCATCCTGTGTCCCTTTCGCGGCCGCCTTAGGGCTCTCTTAGGGGTCCTCTTGGGCCGTCTTGGGGGCCTCTTGGACCGTCCCGGCGGCCTCTTTGGGCCGTCTTGCGGCTTTCTTGGGCAGTCTTGGGGTCCTTTTGGGGGCCTCTGGGGCCGTCCTGGGACCGTTTTGGAGGCTGCCCGGTCCGTCGCGAACCTTGAAGGATGGAAAAAAGAGAGCGCTACAATCTTCCAAAACCCTAAGGAAGAACCACGGTCCCCCAGAGGTCCCCCAGCGGCTGGAACAACCGGGCAGGATGGCGGCACTCCTCCTTTCACAGCCTCTGAAGCCTGGGAGGAATTCATAGCTTTGACGCGGGGTAGAGCTGCTGACCGGGCTGCAATCTCCAGCACAATTTTCAAACATGGTGGACAGAAGTTCTAATCGACATGGTCGCTTTATTTTTTCAACGACATTATCAATCCAGGCGGAATCACCCGAGAGAGTTGGAATTCATCATTCGATGCAGTATTGTTGAAAGATGGCAACGCCAAGCTGCCTTCCAACTACCGGCCTATCACTATCATCCCGCTGCTATACACATTGTTCAGCCGCCTAATCAGACGGCGTCTCATAGCAATGGGAAAAACAGGCCGGGTTCAGGGCGATTTACAACACGGACGATCATCTATTCGTTTCTGTTTTATGGCGAGTGAAATGTGACGAGTGGCGGCAGCAACTGTGGGTGGCTGCGCTGGACTTCAAAAAGGCAGTCGGTAGCATTCCACACGATAGTATTTGGGCTGCGCTGCGAGAGCAAGGTGTTCCTATTCTTTACATGTCATTATTGCAGAACTTAATCAAACTGGCGCCATTATTAATTTGGACAAGACGAGCAGAGATGTCCCAATCCGCCAGGGGACGAAGCAAAGGGACCCGCCAAGCCCGACTCTTTGTAATGCTGCAATCGAGTTTTTACTCCAGCCACTAAAATCCCGATTGCTGTCAAATTCTTGTGGTTCTTTGCTTGGGGACCGGCGGGTGACAAATCCACGTTTTGCAGACGACGTCATGTTAGTGAGTAACACGCTGGCAGGCTTGAAGATGATGCTGGGGGACGTGGCGGCGGCGTGCAGCTTGCACGAATTTGCCGACGAGGGGGGGCGAAATTGCGCAACAAAAGCGTCTCAGTGCGTGGCATTGACATCGAACTAATCAAAATAAGAGACACCGTACATATTTCGGAAGAAAGATCTCGTTCCAGGGCGCCCACAAGACGGAGTTAGACAACCGGATGCGCAGTGCTTGGCAAACGTTTTATGCGTTCAAGGACGAGATGACGATCAATAAGTATCCAATCAACACCAAGGTGCGCCTTTTCGAGTCCGTGGTCACTCCGTGCGCACTGCATGGTTCGTCGTGTTGGACGCCCGCGGCAGACTTAGAGCAGGTCTTGGTCAAAACACATCGCCACATTTTACGAATGGTGATTGGTTGTGGCAGGCGCCAGATCCCAACCGCTTTTCCTTCCAAGTCGTTCCCGGGTCCTGCTTGTTCGATTTCGTCTTCTGGTGACATGTTTGACGACGAGGCGGAGGGGGAGGACGGGAGGAATATATTATTGAGTCTTGTGCTGCTTGGTTGCAAAGGGCGGCGCAGAACATCGAGCAACAATTGGACGCGCTGGGCGCATCTGATTGGAAAAGGCAACACAGGAGACGCAAGTGGCACCGAGTCGGAACGCTGCTGCAATCCGAACAGCACAGTGCTCACACGCATTGTTGTTTTGGGAGCCGGGGAGCACGCTTGCAGGAGAGAGCGTACGGGACGGCCCCCCGAATATGGGAAGATGGTCTTACGCAGGCGTGCGCATCATATTCAGGGCCGGGCCTCAACTGGAAAGCTTGCGCTTCTGACAGCCAGGTGTGGGGGAGTCTGGAGATGTGCGACGCGGGCCTCTGACCGAAACTATCGTCTTCCGTGCCACCGTTGCCTGGGGCGGGTCCACCCGCTCTCCGGCAGCGCACCGCTCTCCCCTTCGCTGGGGCCAGCCTTCTGGCTGTGCAGAGCGAGTCCGAGTCGGAGTCAAGAAAAAACCTCGAGATTGGCCCCTGGAGGCGCTGTTGGGGGTCCTCTTGGGGCCCTCTTGGGCCTTCTTGGGGGCTTTTAGGCCCTTTTAGAGCCATCTTGGGCCGTCTTGGGGTCGTTTTGGCCCGCCTAGAGGCCAACTCTTGAGCTGTCTTGAGCCGTTTTGAGCCCAAGAGGCCCCAGGGGCCCAAATCATTTATTTTCCACAGGTTCTTGTGGGTATCGAGCCCCGCAAGGGGTCCGTCACGCTTGGGTCCGTCCGGCGCTACTCCAGGGGGGTGGGGTGTGTGGGGAGACGTGATATTGCAAAACGCCAGAAGTTGTAGATTTCGTGTGCAGTCAATGGGTACTTTGGATCCAATGCATTACAGCATCGCCGGAACCGCCTCCGGCAACACATCATTTGTGGACGTCGGTTTTTGAGGTTTGCGCCACATCCGCCGACCCCTTGGAGCGCTCTGGGGGCACATCGGGCCACCGTGCGCGCCGATAACACCACCGAGCGGATACGACCACCAACCGCATTCCCTTTTGAAACTTATGTGTTTCGCTTCTTGGGGCTCTCGTGGGGTCTCCGAAATGCCGAGGTGTCCCAGTGGACTGCTGGAGTGCAGGACGTATTCTCCCTTCTGCATCTTCGAGCGGCGATGAGAGCTTGAGACAAGTTTGGGTCAGGTGGAAGTTGGGCGGGAGAAAAAAGCATGAGGGAGGAAGACTAAAGGGGAGGGAGGAGGATGGAGAGGGGAGGGGCTGAGGCGGTTGAGGGACAGGGGGAGGAATAGGAGGCGTAGGGGAACAGGAGGAGGAGGCTGAGGTGGAGGAAGAGGAGAAGGATGAGCAGGAGGAGGAGGAGGAGGAAGAGGGGGAGGAGGAGGAGGAGGAGGAGGAGAAACACGAAAATGAAGGGGACGAGGATAAGGAGGAGGAGGAGGTGGAGGAGCAGGAAAAGGAGGAAATGGAGGCGGAGCAAGAGGAAGAGGACAAAAGGAAGAGGAGGAGGGGGCGGAAAAAAGAAGCAGGAGGAGGACAAAGACATCCGCATGAGGGGGTACAACGTCTGAACACCGACTCAGGTGACTGATGCTCCTTAGTCAAAATCCCCTGCGATCTGGTGTTCTACAGCCCTGCCTTCTCACTAGGGCCGGCAGGGGGCAGGCCACGTAGCTCAAGGGCCGAGCTCCGAAGTGGCCCCGTAAGATGGCTCGCTACCTTACATCACGAGTCCCATCGGGTCAGTGCGGGGGGAACGGCTGCTGGCCCTGCCGCGTGCCCTAGGGGAGGGGGCGCGCAGGCTTATCAGGGCGCCCAAGCCACGGGGGGGGGGAGACGACGACAAGACCTCAAAAGGAGGAGAGGGGGGAGAGACGGAAGGCCCGAGACCCCTAATTCTTGCTGGGGAGCTGCGTTTTCTACAGTTTGAATTCCGTGCTCCCTTCTCCCGCTCGGCTCTTTTCTCGGTCGTTCCGAGAGATGTCCCATGTATTGTCACATTTGTCTTTTGGGCCAACGAGGAACACATCGGTGGGTTTCTTGCAGATCGTTTTTTCCCCACATCCAAAGTGGGCTTCTTGTTTTCTCTGCACACCCCGCGCAGGAACACTCACCCCACCCCCTCTCCTCTTCTGCCTTCGCACACTCACTCACCCACTCATCATCATCACCACTCACTCACACTCACACTCACTCACGCTCTCTCATCATCAACATCAGCATCATCACTCGCGCTCTCTCACACGCTCAGTCACTCACATACTCATCATCATCATCACCATCATCATCATCATCATCATCATCATCATCATCATCATCATCATCACTCGCACTCTGTCACACGCTTACTCATTCACATACTCACCTGGAGGAAGTCTCAGGCGTGAGTTCGTCTGTGAGTGAATTGTGAGGAAGTCTCAGGCGGGAGCCCCGTCCCTATGGGGCCCGCAGATCACGTTGGTAATCCGAGCGGGTCATGCAAACCTTGTAACTGTCGTCACTTTTTGGGCTCCTCAAGCTTGAGTACGGAGGAAGTCTCAGGCGGGAACTTCGTC